TAAAAATTTATGTGTGCAGCACTGTTTGTCATAAAAAAAGACTGGAAAAAACTTAAATATCCATCAATAGAAAACAGATTTAAAATATTACATGGATACCCTGCAGACATTAAAAGAGTAAGGTAGTTTAGTTAGCTGTGAAAAAACAACAAATAGAATAGTATGGGTAGTATACTATATTTTGTGTTTAAATTATTTTGTAAAAATACATGGAATAGTTCTGTAAGAATTCCCAGGTATATAGTAGAGCTGAAAAGGGGCAAGGTTGTTGTCACTTCTTGGCCACAGTCAGCTACCCAGTAGTTGGACCTGTAGGCTCAGGACCATAGTCGCAAAGGACATCAGGCTCAACTGGCGTAACATACTACACAAAACACTGTTTCACATGCTACTTTGGCGAGTAGCGACTGGGATCTTAAAAGCCTACAAGTGCCCATCTAGATGCAACAATGAGTCTCTCCTCGTCCAGAGCAAAGAAGAATGAAGAAAACCAAAGGTGCATGGAAACAATTAGTCCAAGCAACTAGTACACCATTCAATCCTTAGCCTATATAACTATGAGACCAAAAGAACTAGATGGTACCTGGCTACCACTATTAATCACTCAGAGGGGCATCTATCTAGGAGATCCTGGATAGAGTGGGAAAACAATGTGCAACAAAACCCAAAATCATTTGGAACAAAATTCAAAATCATTTTGGAAAAAAAAAAAAGGACCAAGTTTGCTGGGTCTGATAGAGCCTGATGGAATCACTGAGACTATGGTCCCTAGTTGCCCTTCAGGTCTGGAATTGAACCTACACCTGTGGCTTCCAGGCAAACAAAAGACAGGCGTATGAGCTGAACATTTTACCTGAGGTAGATACACTCCTTGGAGAGATCAATCATGGGAGAACAGAAGGGCTGTGTATGCACAGGGAGACAGCTCGGGGGACAGGAGTGCATGGGAGGGAAGGACACAGAGAACAGGTAACTATGGAGAGGAAGTGGGAGGGGAGCTGTTGCATTGCACTCAATTTCATGAGACAAAATGTGTGTGAGCTGCTGTATGGAAAGTGAATTTGCCCTGTAAACTTTCACCCAAATCACAAAAATTAAAAAAAAAAAAAAAAACATAAAATATATGCTTAAATAACTGGTACTATCGTTAGAAGAAGTCAAAAGAACTTGCTACCAGTGATCACCTCTGGCAAAGTGAGGTGGTTGACTGGGTGACAGGGACAAGAGTAAAACTATTTTCCTGCTTTTCGTATCATTTGAGTTCAGTACTAGAGCATGTGATGGATGGATGGATGGATGGATGGACATGACAACATTAAAAAATACAAAATAAAATCCGCATACCACACAAGTCCATGTGGCCCCCTATATAAATGTTTAATCTCCAGGTAATCTCCTACCTGCTAGTTGGTGCAGGGAAAGAAAACGAGAAAAGCTGATTCCAGAATGGGTCATTCTCAGAGACAGATTCTGTGCCTGATAACTTTTTTAAGTATTCATTTTTAGAAAGGTCACCAATTCTGCTGCTGTTTGATCCCATCTTCCAGTGTGATAGATAACTTGTCCTTAAGCCTTCATTTCTTCAAGACAACCTAGAAAGAATGAAAAGAAATTTCATACTTATTCAAAATAATCATAATTTTCCTATCATTCTCCCACATATAAAAATCTATAAATCTCTTAAAGTAAAACATACGTTTCTTTATTTGAAAATATATTAAACAACAGCTACAAAATTAAAGGGAAAAAGTAAGACTTAACCTGTCCCACTCAACACAAAAACAACAATGTGGACCCATACTTTCACAGTAAGTAAATCTCAGGATGGGTGTTCTTCTGCACAAGACAAGTTCTCAAAACAAATTTATAATAATGATAAACTTATTAACAAACAGTAGGAAAATGAAGCTCCTTTACAACTAAAACAACAGCGCTAAAGAAATGGAGAGATGGATGGCCTCAATGTGGCAGAAGGAGAGAGCATCTGTGTCGCAGTGAATTCCCTGGTATGGCTCTTCTAGCCATGGTCTTTGCGACTTCCACCAGATGACTGAGTAACATGCAAACATAAGGTACATGTGGTCCACCAAGGCGATGGGACAGCTTCTTAGTGACTGTAAATATGGTACTCTTGTGGGGGTGGGACTGTGCAAACAACGTATGCAGAACCCTAACCTAAGGACTGATCAGTTTTGCCATTCTCTGCGGCTTAAAATGAGTCCTCCCAGAGGCAGAAAGGGGGAATATCACTATCAGCAAGAAGAAGCCAGGAGTGCAGTGTGTCCTTGGACCAGAGATCCCTGCACTGGACCTCCTCGGGAGAGAAACCGTGACAGCAGAGGCAGCAGAACTAAGAGACTGACATGAAACAGAGCAGTGGCCTTGCTTGCCATGGAGCAAGAAAGCTGAGTGCCTTTGGGCAGGAGGCTTGCTGACGGAATGGGGTGCACCTATCAGCAGAGGCAAAAGAGCTTTGTAACACTTGCCCAAGCACAGCAGAAGCTAGGCCAAGAGGCCATGGGCCAAAGAGACGGATGCCTACAGACATGGCCAAGAGGGTCAAGAGGAGGCTGTTCTAAATGAAGAACTGCATCCTGAGCATTCCTGAACCTGAATTTTAACCTCTTCCCTTCCTAACGGGAGCTCTGGTAGCGTACTGCCAAAGGCGTTTGCTAACCAGAAGGCTGGCAGTTCAAACCCAACAGTGTCTCCTCGAAAGTGAGCTCTGCATATGCCCTTGAGAGAACAATCATGGGAGAAGGAAGGGCACCTTATGCACAGGGAGACAGCTTAGGGGGCAGGAGAGTATGGAGGGATGGACACTGGGAAGTGGTACCTTGGGGAGGAAATTGGAGGGGAGCTGTTGCATTGTGGTAAATTGTGGTCAATGACATGAGACAAAGTATATGTGAACTGCTGTATCGAGAGTGATTTTGCTCTGTAAATCTTCACCCAAATCTAAATAAAATAAAATTTAAAAAAAAAAAGAAAGTGAGCTCTGGTCTGGTGGTGTAGTGGATAAGGAATTTGGCTGCTAACCAGAAGGTCGGTGGTTCAAACCCACCAGCTGATCCGCGGAAGAAAGATCTGGCAATATACTTCCGTAAAGATTTACAGCCTTGGACAATCTACTTCCGTGTGATACCACCTCAGAAACCCAAGGAGGGGTCACTCTAAGTTGGATCCAACTCAATGGCAGTGAACTTGGATTTTTTTTGGACCTCCCTAATAAACCTCAAAATCATGAGTATTGTCTGTGAGTTCTGTGTGGCCTTACAATGGATTAAACCCAGCAGAAAAGTAGACAGTGCTGTGGAGGGATAGTTGGTGTCAGAACTGGTAAAAAGTCTGGAGGATGGGCATGTCTGACTCCCACCTTGGGCAGATGCTACTGATGTTGATTCTCTCTATCCATCCTGAAGTTAGAGGAGGTCAGAGGATGCTGCCCCCAGGCCCTTTTTTGCAATAGTTCAAGTAATACCAAACACAAACAATTAAGCACTTGATTCCTAGCCAAAAGGATGGCAGCTGGAATCCACCCAAAGGTGCCTGGAAAGGCAGGCCTAGAGGTCTGCTTTGGAAACTCTAAGAAGCAGCTCTATTCTGCACACAAGGGGTTGTCATGATTCTTCGTGGCAACTAACAACAGTGAAGACACTTAAGGGGAGAGTAAGGACTGCCATGAGTTACCTGCTTAAAATGAAAGAGCACATGATTCCAAAGGAGTCGCATTTCATGTCTGTCTCATTCTGCAGTGATGTACACACAGAACTTGTTCACATGCCTCTTGACCTAAACCATGAGTTTTTTGAGGATAGGGACTATCTCACTAATCTTTCTATCCCCAATGTCTAGACTAGCATATAGCAGGCATTCCCTAAATATAAATAGTACACTGAAGGAATGAGTATGTGTATAAACCAGTACTCACCAGGCTCTTCAGGATCTGTTGTTCTTAGTCACTTGTTATGTTATGTTACATGGGAGCTCTGGTAGCATAGTGGCTAAGACACTTAGGGGAAACTAATAGCTTAGTTACAAATATTAATCACCGTCTTCATCAAATCACACTTAACACAATTCTAAATCACACATTATCTCAATTAAAAAAAAAAAAAAAAAACTCTCCCTGACAACAATAAAATGGTAGTGAAATGAATAACTTACACTATTTTCAAATTATATCACAACAACAGTAAACCAAGTGCTCAGGGGCCAAAGCAAGCTCAGGTAGATGAGAATTTACATTTGTGACTTTTCTACTTAAGTCCCTCTTCATTACCTAAAGGCAGTGATGATAAGGGCAGAATTCGGAAGCATGCTTTCCCCATGCTCTCAGTCTTTGGGATTGGCCTGAGCTGCTTATCTAGGACATGAACCAAAAAAACCAAACTCACTGCCTTTGAGTCAACTTCAACCCACAGCGACAATGGGCCCAAGTACAGCAAGGATTGTAAAGATAGTACATGACTGGGCAGTGTTTTGTTCTGTTGCACACAGGGTCGCTATGAGTCAGAGTCAACCTGATGGCACCTCATAACAACCACCACAACAGAGTATTATACCTAGCCAAGCTATCAATTAAGTACAAAGGTAAAATAAGGACATATTTAGATTTGCCAAGACTCAAAAGTTTTACCTCCCATACACCCATTTCCAGGAAGCTACTGAAAGATATACTTCTTCAACATGAGGGATTACAATGAGAAAAATTTAAATCCAGAATTCAGGAAACAGGGGATTCATTCAACACAGGGCAGTGGTAAAGACAAGGCACAGGACAAGAGCTATGCAACAGGCTGGGACAAGAATGAAGACAACTGCAGCAAATCTACGAAAGACGTGGGAAAAACAGAATGGACAGGTCACTTGATGTGTTTGACATCATTCTGTGAAGTTTTATAACACTGTTGGAAAATGTGAAAGGAATAAAAAATAGATACACGGAAAACCAAAAACCAAAAATGAATTTTGTAAACACTAACTTTGAGAAAACCAAAAACTTGTTCAAGAAAAAACATGTAATCACAGTGTATGATTAGATTTGATAGTAATCGATATTTACATAATCCTTATAATTTGAATACCAATTAAAGACTTAACTAAAAATTGTGAGATAAGTGTTACTGGGAAGATGCTAGATGGAGGAGTGGGAGTGGTGGTTTAACAATGTTAATTAAATCTTCCTCTTTCATAATAGATAGGAAGTCAATAAAAAAATAACTAAAATTACTAAATTAAAAATTAGAAACAGGAAAAAATATAAATAAGGAGGCAAATAATAAGAAGCAACAACCAATAAATATGACACCTTGAGGAAAGGACTATGGAGTTGGGAGTGGTCCTGCAGTTTCTCATTTTAAGTCTATCCTATTATTTGACTTTTGAAAATCATGTCTCTCTACTAATTGGATGGAAAAAAAATTAAGTACACTTTTAACCTCCTTCATTGCTTTTCTTATTTGCATTTACATTTTTAATATATATATTAAAAACAGAATGATACCCATGACAAATTTAATGGTAATAAAAACACAAACGATCCTTTACTTACCGTGGAACTTGCAAGCTAAGAAAACAAACAAATGAGAATTTAACTCAGACCATTTTTTATTTTTAGAATCAGAAATATACATGGTACAAAACATAAAGGGTTCAAAAAGATACACAGTGAAAATAACCTCCCTCTCATCCCATCTCCCAACCACCTAGTTCTTCAACTCAAAGAAAATATTACCAGTGTCTTGGGCATCATTCCACAGACTATCCATTCATATGGAAACAAATATGTTTTCCCTCTTTTCACACAAACTGTAACATACTACATATGCCTCTTTGCTTAGCTTTTTCCATTTTATCAATATATTGGAAATCACCATGTATCTGTATCTGAAAAACTTCGTTTCTTTTTGTAATTATGTAACATTTCATTTCATAATTTAATAAATCCCATATGGACAGACATTTAGGTAGTTTACAGTCTTCTGCTATTACTCTTCAACAAATAATATATTTCACATATGTGTATCTAACCAAACCACATCCACTACCATCAAGTTTATTTCAACTCATAGCAACCCTATAATACAGAGTAGAACTGCCCCATAGGGTTTCCAAGGCTGGCTGTAACTCTTTACAGAACCAAAGTGCCTCATCATTCCCTGCAGAACGGCTGGTAGGTTCAAACCACCGACCCTTTGGTTAGCAGCTGAATGCTTTAACCACACCACCACCAGAGCTCCTTGTATAAGTACATAAACCAACAAAAAAAAACAAACTCACTGCCATTGTTGTTGTCGTCAAGTGCCGTCGAGTCGTTTCCGACTCATAGCGACCCCATGCACAGCGGAACGAAACACTGCCTGATCCCGCGGGCCCCACAATCCCTCCTATACTTGAGCCCATCATCGCAGCCACCGTGTCAAATCCATCTCATTGAAGGCCTCCCCCTCTTTAGTTGACCCTCCACCCTACCAAGCATGACATCCTTCTCCAGGGAATGATCCCTTCTTACAACATGACCAAAATAGGTGAGACGAAGTCTGGCCATTTGCTTCCAAGGAGCATTCTGGCTGCACTTCCTCCAGGACAG